GCCACAATTGAGCAAACCCCACAAGAAATAAGCACATTCTTCTTGTCATGTACTTGAATAAAGTCTAGCTCTTCATTTACATTTGTGGATGAAAATAAATCTTGAATTTCCCCAATTTGTATAAATTCATAATTTTTAAAGATAAGTATGAAATATGAAGGGTTCTAAAAAGAAGTTGAGTTTGTGGGTATAATTAAAAGTCTTTGCTTTACTTTTCTTCAACTAACACTTTTTCCTTAAGAAATCATTACAAGTCACTCATATTGATCCAACTTTACACATTTGTTGTATGTGTTTTGCAAGTAATAACAAAATGTATCATTCATTTGAATGAGCTGGTTGAAAATAGATAAATAAATAATAAGTGATGAAAAATGTGATTAAATTGAAGTGCTGAAATTGATAATCAAATATCTAATTCGAGATTAAGAATCGAAAATACTCAGCTCACTTTCCATTTAAGCATCAACTTTTGTTATTTTTTTTTCATGTTTATGTGATAACAATGTAATCATACATATCACTTAAATTAAAGTAAGAATGCATATTGCTTAATCATAATTTAGGAGTAAACCTTATATATGAACCACATAATGCATATGCAAGATTTTGTGGTTAATTTGAATTGTCAAGCACAATGACTTATAAAGGAAAAATGATTTAAAAGTGTCTTACATGTTTTTCATTTAAAAAAAAAGGGACAAATGAGTTTTATTTTTATTTTTAATATTAATAGAAGGAGGAAACTAATAACATCTTCGCAGTTGTTTGGACAACTATTGAAATTGTCTGAACAACTATTAAAGTTGTTTGGATAACAATTGAGATTGTCGCACAACTACGACAGTTGTTGGATTAAAGTGTAAAAATTAAAAAAATTGAGACTACTTAAAAAATACATCTTAACTTAATTTACACTATTTCTAACTTTTACCTAATTTTTAAAATTTGAAGGTTTCTTGCTTAATTGAATACCTTATTTGTCCCTTTTAATAGACCTTCCCGACTTATAACCTATTACATATCTCAAATTCAAAACCATTAGCTACACAAATTTCTTAAGGTTGGCAAAAATATGGATTTTTGCATACAACTTTTTGAAGGCTATAATGAAAAGAATGCTTTTCAAGCAACTAGAATTTTTGCACTAAATTGGACCAAGAAGTGGTTGAAAAGTTTGTAATAATTAAATGATATACTATCATTTAACTTTGAGTCTAAATTTTGAAATTTGATTGGCTGTGAGTGTTCACACGTGTTTGTTCCACTAACACTTTGCAATATATTTGGTATGATGACATTTTATTTTCATATTTGTTTGAAATTAGGCTGAATCAATTGGTAGCCCCTTAAATTTCGTGTTAATTTTTATTTAGATATTTTAATTACGCTTTATTTATTTTTGACATTTTATATTGTGTTTTGCTGTGTTATTTTGACACTTTTTGCTGTCTTGACATATTGTGTGTGATGCACCCATTTTGAACACGTGAGGAGTTATTTTTTGGATTTTTTTTGAATTTTTTTCCTTCTTCTTCTTCTTCACTTTTTAGCCCTACTACTTATTTTCACCTCCACATGAAAATTTATGATAAAAACCTTACAAAATATGAAAAAATAAAATAAAAAACTATCACACTAATTTTAAAAATGTTAATAAGAACAAATTTTTTAGAAATCATCACACTAAAATTTCTCAAAAAATTTAGAAAAATGTGATATATAATTTTCAAAATCAATAAAAAAAAACCATAAAATCTAATGAATTTTGTTAAAAAAAAAAAAATTGGAAGAAGAACAAAAAAAAAGTTATAGAGTTGGGGAGGAAAAAGGGACATAAGACAGATGGGGTGGGGTCGGGGTAGGGATAGGGGTGGGGTGATATAAGGTGGGATGAGATGATAGATAATAAGTAATTTTATTTATTTATTTTTGCTGAAAAATAGTTATTTTTTAATAATTTATTTGAAAATTATTATTTTTACATTCAAATGTCACATGTCAACTTTTAATTAGTCATCATGTCATGTCATTCGCAAGTGTGTTACATACACTTTATAATTTTAGCTGATTATCAAAAAGGTGTCAAAATGACATAGTAGATCCCTATTTGAGGTATTTAAAATGAACAAAGTCTACTTGCGGTGTCTAAGTGAAAATTGATGCCAATTTTAAGGAGCTCCTGATGGATTCAGCCTTGAAATTATAATGCAAAGTTTATAATGCTAATATTTATAAGCATCAATTATGTAGTGATTTATATTTTGTCTGTTCATTGCATTGAGAAGGGATATACAAATGACCGAGTTGATACAGTACGTGATATTTTACGAGAGAAATTAAAGATTAATTTTTTTGATTAACATCTTTTTAGTTAAACGCTTGAGTTTATAGCATCAAACTTATCTAATGCAATTTATATTTGTAATCTATTACATGTGAGCAAACTTTTATATCCAACTAGGCAATTATGCATAAAAAATCGTGATCGCGAATTTATGAGAGTTAAAAAAAGTATGTATAAATATACATTTGAATGGGTGTTGAAAAAAGGCTTGCACCTAGATTAGATTTTAGCTTGTTTTATTGAGATATAAGTAGTCTTTTGATTGTTGTGTTTAACAATAAGAAAAATATAATCAAGGCTAAGTATAAATAAGAGATAGTAATATTTTTTTTGTTCTAACACTAATGTTAAATCTTAATTTTGGTCCTTCTAATAAATGGCTTCATAACAACGAAAATATATTATGTTGAAACTATTTTCAGAATTATATTATTCTCAGTCTTCGGATAAAAAGTAACATTATAAGCTTACATAACAACGAAATGATAGAATATTAAATAACTTTTCAATATTTGTTTGATTGGGTGAAGAAGGTTTTGATTGCTATCAGAAGTTTAATGCTTGAGGACATCAATCGCGATTCCTTGTTTTTTTCCTTTCCTTTTAACCAAACAATAAAAATAAGCAAACGAATCAAAAAGAATATCGCGAAATAACTGAAAGTTAAATGTTTTATCAACCCATAATATAATAAGAATTTCAAGTTTTTTTTCCTTATTCGACTTCCATAATTAATTCATCCTATTGTTCTTTCTTATTTTCTGAAAATTGTAAAAATCTATTGGTTTTATTTTCTTAATTCTTCCATATATTAACTCTTGGGGTTATGAGACATAAAGAAATATCTATGATGGGACATATATGATATATCATTTGATTATAATCAAAATATTTAATTAGGAGAATAATGTATTTAATTTGAGATTTGGATAATGCATATATATATATATATATATATATATATATATATATATATATATATATATATATA